CCCCAGGGAAAAACGCTGCTGCCAGGTACTTTTAACCATATATTTTGGTCCTATGACTGCAGAATGCTGCAAAAAACCATAAATGCAGGCCAGTTGTTGAGTGTTTAAAATGAGATTGGAACACTTAACAAGGTGACCACAGTATATGTGTGTCTGTGTGTGTGAGACAGAGAGTGAGAGAGAGACAGACAGACAGACAGAGACATAGAGAGAGAGAGAGGCACAAAGAGAGAGAGAGAGACAGACAGACAGAGAGGGAGTGAGAGAATCAGAGAGAGAGACGACAGACACACAGAGACAGGGGGAGGGAGTAAGGAAGGGAGAGATAGAAACACAGAAACAGAGAGAGAGAGACAGAGAAACAGAAAGTGAAAGAGATTGAAAGAAGAAAGAAAGAAAGAAAGAAAGAAAGGAGAATGGGAGAGAAAGAAAGAAAGAAAAAAGAAAAAAGAAAGAGAAAGAAAGTGGGAGAGAGAGATGAAAGAAAGAAAGAAAGAAAGAAAGAAAGAAAGAAAGAAAGAGAGAAAGAAAGAATTTATGACCATAACTGAGCCCAAAATTTGGGTTGCTAAGCAAGAGCTTCATTAAGTGAGTTTCACTACATTTTCCAAGTTGGCCACGCCCATCCAGTCACATGACCACCGAACCACTCCCACAAAATGCACACCATGCATTGCTTGCGCATTTACAGTTGCCTGAAAATTCTTCTGCGCATGTACCGAACATTATAAAATGACTAAAAACCATGTCGGCAATGGCAGGGCAACTGGGGAACTGGGCCAGGGGCATGGCCAGCCTGCCATCATAGCTTTCAGATGATAAATTGGAGGAGGCAATCTTATCAATCTCTTCATTATTGCAACTAAATAATTAAGAATAGCAAATAAATTCATTTAGAAAATGATCAAAGCTAAATTGAATATTTTCAGAAAATAATCATTAATTGATTGGGAACAAGAGCTTTTGAATGTCCTGCTATGCACCTCCTGCTGAATGCTGCCTTGAACTTACAGTTCATAATATATAAAAGATGTCTGATTTCTTTGAAACTTTTAATAACTTTATTGAGATGCTTAGGAATCCGAGGGAGGAAGGAATAATATATAAAAGATGTCTGATTTCTTTGAAACTTTTAATAACTTTATTGAGATGCTTAGGAATCCGAGGGAGGAAGGAATAATATATAAAAGATGTCTGATTTCTTTGAAACTTTTAATAACTTTATTGAGATGCTTAGGAATCCGAGGGAGGAAGGAATAATATATAAAAGATGTCTGATTTCTTTGAAACTTTTAATAACTTTATTGAGATGCTTAGGAATCCGAGGGAGGAAGGAATAATATATAAAAGATGTCTGATTTCTTTGAAACTTTTAATAACTTTATTGAGATGCTTAGGAATCCGAGGGAGGAAGGAATGATTCCTAAAAGATGTCTGATTTCTTTGAAACTTTTAATAACT